ACTGGCCAGGGGAATTCTCAACGGGAAGGGCATCACCTGGGGTGCTGAGTACACTAGGCTTCTACAACACGATGGCCGATTGAGGAATGGCGCAGGAGGGAAGGCAAACGGAAACCCAGGCCATCCCACAGACCCCACTTTTCCCTGTCTGAACTATTTGCTCCCTCCACCTAACTCAGTGGTGGGCAGCTCATCGGTCCACACGGTCCTCTGCCCAGTCATGTCCTTTCTAGCCCTCAGTGTGGGCCGGTCATTGGGCCAGGCGCATCCTTTGATGGGAAGTTGGACTCAGCCTTGGCTGACAGAGCCATCCTGTCCCTAAGCCGGCCACCGAGCTGGGGGATAAACAGGAAGCTCCATCTCTCCACTGTGGTGTGCTGGTCTTTCCTTCCTGCAGTGCAGCTGGCTCACACGCCTGTGCCTGCTGCCCCTCGGCCTCGCACTGCCCAAGATGCCCATGCCGGCCTCTGTCAGGACCTGGGCCCTCCTTCTCCTGGGGCTGCAGAAGACAGACATTCAGCAGTGAGGGGGTCCAAGGAGAGTCCTGGGAGACCAGGGGGGCTCTGCCCGACTCCTGCCACTGCTCCCTACCTGGCCGGTGGGAAGGTAAGGCAGCTGTATTCCCTTGTCCATCAACCTCAGAGCATTAACAGGTGTGCTAGAAGGCAGCTTAGACAGATGTGGAAACTGAGGCACAGCATGAGGACCAGAGCTCTAGCTTCCTAATGCAGGGGTCCCTGCCTTGGATGCTACTCTGACCAGGGTAGGCTCTGGCCCAAAGTCTTGAGGCCCAAATGTGGGCCAGGTCTATCTGATCTCCATTCTACAAGAGCTCTGGGAGACGGAGGGCAGATGTGGGAGTGCCTTGGTATCAATGGGAAACAGCAGGCCTGAGTAGAAGATGCCCCGGACTCCTTCCAAAGTGCTCGGTGACTGTAACACGTTCCACCAGTGGGAGAAGAGAGGCCTGAACCAAGAGGTACCTTCAGAGACAGGGAGGGGAGCCCCTGGGCTCTGAGCATCTCCCTGGACCCCAGCTCCTCCTGCAGCCCCAGGGGGCTGTCAGCCAGCTCCTCCTCCTTTTCTAGTCCCTCCCTCTCCTGTCTCTGACATGCCCAGTGTCAAGGTGAGACCTCAACCTGCCCCCCTCCCTAGAGTTGGTCCCGGAGGACTGACGGGTGCCTGCAAGCCAGGTCCCACAGTGGGATTTAGGTGACAGCGTGGAGTAAGGCTGGTAGTTTGTGGCTCTGAATCAAGGATCTCTTTCCTCTCATAGGTCCTGGCCTTGGCCAGATCAGGCAGGGTAGGACAGAGCTTGTCAGGACTTAAACACAGACATATGGGCACCAGACTAGTGAGGCCACCCACAAGTGTCCATGGGCAGACCTGTGAGGACCTGGTCTGAAGACCCCCCTTCCCACACCTGCAAGTTTAGCAATCTATGTACTGAGTGGGAGGGCAGCCCACTCACCCCCAACCCTCAGCTGTCCCCGGCACAGTCAGGTCTGATGACCGATCACCCAGGCTGGGGGGCACAGGAGGAATTCTGTTTCCCTGAGGAAAGGAAGGCATACCTGCCTCAGCTCTGCCCCGCCTCACTGCCCACCTGGGTCAAGTCCGTCCTGTCTCTGAGCATCAGTTTCTCCTTCTGTACACAAAAGGATCTAGAGCTAGCTGGTTGCTCTGTGGAGGAGAGCAGGGCAGATCGCTGGATAAGGGGGATGGGCAGAGGGGCAGGCCCAGGGGACGAGACAGAGGGAATACTGGTCCCCACTGCTGGTGGGATGCCTTGGCTCTTGTGGACAGGGTGAACCCTTAAATGGAAGCAGGCCACAGAGAGACAATGGAGGGCTGAGTGTATGACCATTGGCTATGTGCCTGAAGAAGGAGGTGGGGATGGGTCCTCCCCACATCAGGTCCCCATTTGGGGCATGTACACCTTCTAAGAGAGGTCACTAGACCCTGCCATGGTACCCCTGAACATGAAGCTTGTCACCCCCAACAACATGAAGTCCCACGAGCTCCTTCAATAATCACAACCCTGATGACAAACCCTGTCTCCTGTACCCATAGAACAGATAGAGAAACAGGGTGCCAAGGAAGTGGAGTATACCACCTTAAGTGATTGAAACCCCTGGCTCCTCTGTGTGTGTGTGTGTGTGTGTGTGTGTGTGTGCAAGCTGTTCCACCTCCATGCTGGCCCAAGTTGTCTGGCTAGGTGGGGTGGGAGAGTGTTGGGGCACAGAAAAGAGGTGTCCCGGGCATCAGGCAGGCAACTGGTAGAGCCAGGGGTGATGAAGTTCCGTTCCAGGTGCCCTTAAGTCACTGTGATCTAGGCATGTGCTCGGCAGCTGCCCAGTTCTTAGCAGCACATCGTCCCACCCAATCCCTTCGGGTCTGTGTGCCTGGCTTGGGTCCCCCATGGCTAAGCATTAGACCAGGAGCTGGGACAACCAAGGGAATCATGAAGCCCTGCTTTTACCACTGAAAGACTCCTTCTCCCTCCCGCAGCCTGCTGGGGCCAAGGCAGAGAGAGGAGGGGCTGAGCATACTGCTCCTCCTGGTCCTAGGGCTGCGTTCTCAGACCACCCCTGTTAACTGAGCCTGGGGGCTTCACACTCAATGTACAAACCTCCAGGGTCAGGGGGCCTAGTGCCCCGCTGGGCAGCTCTCTTCCTGGAGGAAAAACGTGGATTCTAGGGGAGTATAAACTGACTTCTGTTCCTCCTGTCGCCCTCGTTATACCAACCCAGGCATGGGGACCCACATAACAGGCTGTTCTCAGACCATCTGTCCTGTCTTGCCCACCCCCAGGTCTCTTCCAACTGCATGCCAACAACATTCCTCACTAGTCACGGCTTCAGTGGGGCTGTGCCATATACATGTGGGAAGGGTCCAAGCTCCTATGTCCCAACGATGCAGAAAGTCCCTTCTGTCATCCACACAGATGTGTCTGTGGCCTCACTAGCTCTGTGGAATGGGAAGGCCCTGGAGCCACATCCTCTGTCTCACACTGTCTCCTGGGTCACCAGCCAGGTGCCCCTGAACCCAGGATGAGCTTCTGGCTGCTTCAGGGCTAGACCCTGAAGGGCACAACATCCTCCTCCCTGCAGCTTGGTCAGCTCCCCTCCCTCAGTGCCCCCCTCAGCCCCTTAGCCTCCTGTTTGTTCACTGAGAGATCCCTGTTATCAGCAGAGAACACACACAGGAAGTCCGGTGGGAAGGGCCCATCCCAATCCCGATTTACACGGGATGGAGCATAAAAAGCCGCCCTTCCTCGCCCGGGAGGAGCCTCCGTGCCCCAGCCCGCAGCTGCGCAGGTCACGACGGAGGCTGCAGTCCTCAGGACAGGCGGGCTGGCAGACCTCAGGAAGGGCCTCAGGCAGCTGACGGACCCAATGCCCCCTTGAGGAGCATGGTGTATGGCTGACTCAAGAAGGCAGCAGAGATGGCCATGGTCAGGCCTGGTCAGCATCAGGTATGCAGCGTGGCCCTGCAGGGCAGGAGTGGGCAGAGAGGGCCCCGGGTGCCCCAGCTCCCATGAGAAGGCTGTGGCACTTGCCAGCTGGGGTTTGGGTCTTCCCAGCTGTCAAGGATGCTGTCCTTACGGTTGTCCATCCCTGTCTTGTGGAGGAGGTCCTCTTGGGTCCCCTTGGTCCAGCATTTGCTCTGGGATCCCCAGTCTGGATTCTACTCCTCACTCCCAGCTGCCCAGTGTTCTGGGACCAAACCCTGGAGCGGGAAGGTGAGAGCAGCATGACAGCCCATCTCCTGGGCCCATTCTTGTCCTTGTCCTCGAAGGAGCCCCTGGGTGGGCATCAGAGCACAACCTGGCAGGGCCTGCTCAACTGGGCTTATGTTCTTCTCTTTTGCCAAGACAGGGGTGGGGTTTCCTCAGAGCACCGTTAGTGGTGGATGGGCATTCCTGGAGAATAGGGGTACTGGCCAGGGAATCAGCCCTGGGATGGGAACCCCAAGCCTGGACAGCTGTGTATGTTGGGGGGCACAGAACGCGGACTAGAAGTCCCTCTCTTCCTGGGCTGGATTTAAGGGCTAAGGGTTAGGGATATCTTGATGGGGTGCAGTGTGGTCACCTGGGTGACAGTGGGTCCTGGTGAAACCTCTTGTGCTCCCTCTCCCCAGTCCCTAAACCTTGTGCTAAGGCCCCCAAACCACAGTGGGGCCTTCTGGACCCTTCCCTCAGCCAGGGAGATCTGTGGGAAGCACACCTTTTTCAGATGAGAAACTGGCTCAGTCTCAGCCTAGGTAAAGGCAGAGAGGGCAAGTAAAAGCTACCCCAATTGCCCTCTGTCCAACAGACTGGGAGGGGGATGTGCTGGTCAAAGTGTCAAGTGACCACGATTCCAGGGACTCGGATGGGGTGGCAGGCAGAGCTATGTCACCAGCTCAGAGCACGAAGAACTATCTGCAGCTCTTCAGTGCTGGGACCGGCTGAAAGCTGCCTGGCTGGGGTTAGGGGGTCAGGAGACTCCGGACCCACAGTTGTAGGCCCCTGGTGGCAGGTATTTAGCCACACCTGGGACCCATCTGCCAGGAGAATCCCTGATGCAGGGTGTAGCTACTGAATACAGGCAAAAGAGCCCACGTTCATGAGCCTGTCCCTCAGCTCCTATGCACCGAGGTGGGCCGGGCTCTGAGTTGTTGGCCGTTTCCTGATACTGCAGAGGCTCGGCACACTGCACTGCACTCCACTCAGCAGGGTTTCCATCTATCTCTGGGGAGCCCAAGGATGGAGGCAGAAACCATATTTCACAGATGGGAGCCATGCCTGTTCTCCAGCGGGGGTGTGTTGTGGTCGCTGGCTGCCCCCATGCACAGTTCCAGGAGGCCAGTTCAACTTGGGACATGATGGTGGGGTCAGAGTACAGAGGGGGTCTGTAGGTCTAGTGTAGGCTCATGGCAGCCTGGACCCCAAGCCTCTTCCTGGCTTCTGGACATCAGGGCAAGCAAGGCCCTAATCACATTCCCTCTCTGACCCACAGCCTCCAGCACCAGCAAAGGTTTGGCAGCTCCAACTGCCCACAAGCAGCTGCCACCAGAGCTCAGGGAATGAGAGGCCTGGCCACAGGTGAGTCCCCAGCAATCCTTCTGGGGGTGAAGGGATTGACAAGGTGTGTGGGGGTGGCATTACCGTGTGCTTCTTAAGAATTTCAACAATCGCAGGGTGTGGTGGCACACACCTTTAATCTCAGCACTTGGGAGGCACAGGTGGGCAGATCTCTGTGAGTTCGAGGCCAGCCTGGTCTACATAGTGAGTTCCAGGCCAGCTGGGGCTACAGGGAGACCTTGTCTCAACAAATCCCCGCCCCCCAAAAAAGAATTGTGACAGTCATAACAAGGAACCACAGTAGAATTACAGGGCTAATTCAGAAATGGGTGCTGGGTGAGGTGACCAACCCAGAAGTCTCTGGGGGTGACTGTGGGGTGGGGTGGGGGCCTTTCAGTTCATAGGAGCAATAGGGGTGGTCTTGATCGTCTCCAACAAGACCATGCCACCCAAGGGGTGTCAGGAGAGGTCCCCACCTAATGGACTATGGCTAGGAAGGAGGCTTGGGTCACACCTAAGTCTCATCTGGGCTCTGCCTGGTGATGTTGGTCAATGAATGGGTCTGATGTGTGTGTGTGTGTGTGTGTGTGTGTGTGTGTGTGTGCCATAATGCCCATCCCATGCACGGCTGCAGAGGGGAGGGACTGGCTTCACTTCTTGCCTGGGATCTAGCCATTTGGGTAGCTGGAGTCTTCGAAGACCATCCCACGGGAAAGTCCTCAGTGGAGGAGTCTCGAGAGTTAGGTCATTGTGGAAGCCGCTCGAGGCCTCCCGGCCCCTGGAACCAGCTTAGTCCTGCGTCCCCAGCGACCTCGTGCCCCCACTGCAGGGCTGGGCAGAGTCAGGAGTCACGAAGGGGACTCGGGGACGCAGCAGCGCTCAGAAGCTGGGTCGCATCTAAAGCCCTAGGGTCTGGTTCACTCGCTACAAAGCGGGTTGGGAGTCTCTGCTGCCGAGCCTCAGTTTCCCCCTACACGCAATGGGGGCGGGGCGGGGGCAGGGCTCCTGCACGGCCGCCAGGTGGGGCGGGGCCCGGG